AGGTGAAATTACTTGAAATGTACAAATTACTTGAAATGTGGAGTGTGTGTATATTTTAGTGAGATACACATAATAAAATATGAAAAAAATAATTCGTAAAATATAAATTAACGAAAATACCTCAAAAAATTTATAGCTGTATTTTGATTAATTTAGATTTTACGAATTAATTTTTTTATATTTTTATTAAGTGCGTCTTACTAAGATTTACATACGTTCCAAATTTCAAATCATTCCAATTAGTAAAAGAAAAATAAAAAATGAAACACTATCGGACAACTGTGATCGTGCGATGAAGTTTGGATGATGATGAAGGTAGGCAAAATCACTATTCATTTTTGCCTATAGATGTTTTGTAGTATCTTCACATATACACATATATAACTAGCCTAACTCATATGAAATGTCCACCATCCAAACATTGGAGATTGCAACAACAACAAGTAGCTGGAATCTCCACCGGTCAACCAAGTTGGCTAGTGGATGTCACTAACCCGCATGAAAACCGTGTACATACACACACGAGGTCTAGTTAGTCGAGTACCCACCCAGACCCGCTCTCGGTTCCACCTGATGAGCTCTAAGCGAGCAGGTAAGGTTTTAGTGATAACTCTAGTGAGTTAATCGACTCATCCATACATACATGTGTGTATCCTCATGCATCACGTCCATCTTAGGTATGGACGTAAAAAAGAAAAGAAAGAAAAAAAAAAAGAAAGAAAAAGAAGGTGCTTTTCACTCTGCCTCAAAATGGATGGCAGAAAACATATTAAAAAGATGAGGCCGGTTTGTATAGAGCCGGGGCTATAAACAATCAAATTAGAGCCTACTATCAAATAGTATCGAAAAATGTGGTTTCAATATTGAAAATCTTTGTGATAGTTTTAAAATATATTCTTATTTTTATTTATAAAGTTTAAAGCTTAAAAAATAGTGTAGATCAATGAAAACTTGAAAATCTTGAAAATTGACGGTTCAAAAATACATTATAAAATATACTATTTCAAAACTTGATCTATACTATTTTTGAAAATAGTGTATTTTGTAACACGTTTTTGGACAGTCAATTTTGAAGATTTTCAAGTTTTTATACATTTGTTGATCTATACTATTTTTGAAGCTTCAAACTTTATAAATAAATATAAAAATATATTTTAAGGCTATTACAAAAATTTTCAATATTAAAACCATATTTCTCGATACTATTTGAAAATAGGCTCTAATGTGATTGTTTAGAGCCTAGGCTCTATACAAACCGCACCCTATATATAATCGCCATAACATTTGAGAGTAACAAATCTCAAAATTTTGGATTCAAAATCCATGGATTTTTTTGAGAGCCCTTAGATGAGTCGGCGAACACCAAACACTTTTCCTATAGCTAGTTGTGGTTTGTATAAGGTGGAGGCCCTAAACCATCAAAGTAAGGCAACACTAAATAGTGTTGAAAGATAATTTTTTGGTAGTCAAAATGTATGTGATGGTTTGAAAATTTATTTTTATATCTAATTATAATATTAAAAGCTTTAAATATTGTAGATCGAACATATCTATAAATATTTCAAATATTGAAAATTGATAGCCTAAATAATACATTACAAGATGTATTATTTCCCGGACTTAAAAATCTATTTTTCCATGTCTACATGTCTCGAGGTCGAGATCGTGAATTTGGGGGTATTTTCGACATCGAACTCTTCTAGTGGATTTTCGATTTGCGCCTTATTCATACACTTTTTTCCTTCCCGATGTACATAATATACATCCATGTGTTGGATTTGTTTGACGCCAGTGGTCAACTCTTAGTGGATTAGTTCAACTAGCTTGATTAGTTTAGTATAATGTTGGTCAGTTTCCCAAAGAAGCCATAGATAAGTACTTAATATTGAAAGCAGCGTTATAAAAAACGTCGAGTCGAACCGGATTCGCTCGGAATTCGCGAAAAGGGACCGGATCGGTTGAAAAATCGAAAATCGTCCGGTTCTAGAGAGAACCGGACGATTCCGCACAGTGACTCGCCGATTCACTGTACGGAATCGGCGAGTCCGAACAGTGAATCGGCAAGTCCGTAAGGTTTATTTTTTTTTTTTTTTTTTTTTTTTTTTTTTTAACTTTTTTTTTTTTGGTAATTCCTATTGTATTAGATTTTTTTTGATTTCGACTTTTTTGTAATTCCATTGATTCGTTAATTGTTTTTTTTTTTTTGTAAT